GGGGCCACCATACAACCCACTACAGTATGGTATATCTATCCATATTTTACTTTTAACCTATTTGTATATTTGTGTAAGATGGGTTTCTTGTTGAATGCGTATAGTTGGGCCTTTATATTTTAATCCAGCCAGCTCATCTCTGCCTTTTACTTTGGATATTTAGACTTTTTATAGTTAATGTAATCACTGATATGGCTGAGTTTAAATCTGTCCTCTTGCTGTTTATGTTCTATTCATCCCATCTGCTTCCCTCATTACCACTCTTTTGCTTTCTGATCTGTTTTGGATTAATTAAATAGGTTCTTTTTTTCTTTTTTAATGATTCCAACTTATCTACCTTGTTGGCTATTACCTATAACTCTTTGTTATGTTATTCTATTGGTTACTTTCAGGTTTTTAGTAAATATCTTTAATGTATCAGAATCCACCTGTAAGTGGTATTATACCAATTCACATATACTATAAAGAAAGGCCTTGCAACATACTACATTTCTGCCTTCTCAATCTTTCTGCTCTTGTCAACATGTTACTTTTAGTATATTATAAACCACAATAATTTGTTATTATTTTCATCATTTTTGCTTTAAACCATCAGATATCTTTTTAAAAGATTTAAATAATCTAAAAATCTTTAAACTTGCTCACATAGGTGCTGTTTTAAGGTGCTCTTCAGTTTTTATGTAGATCCAGATTTCCATCTGGCGTCATTTTCCTTGGGCCTGAAGGAATTCCTTTAATATGGTTCATCATGCAGTCCTGTTAGTGAAGAATTTCAGCTTCTACATGTCTGAAAAACATATTTTGCTTATCTATTCTTTGGCTTTCATTTCTTAAAAGTATTTTTACTGGGTATAGAGTTCTAGGTTGCAGGTTTCCTTTATTTCTCTCTTTTTTTTCTTGTACTTAAAGATGTTGTTTCAACTGTTTTCTGACTTGCAATGTTTCTGACAAAAAGTCTACTCTCTTCTTGTCTTTTTCCTCTGGGGTATTTTTCTTCTGAGTGCTTTTAAATTTTTCTATCTCTAGGTTTAAGTAATTTGATTATGTTTTGTTTTACTCTAGTTTTCTTTATGCTTCTTGTTCTTAGTGTTTGATCACCTTTGATCTATGTTCTTATAGTTTCCCTCAAATTTGGAAAATGTTCAGCTATTATTTCTTCATATATTTTCTTTCCTTCCCATTCTCTCCTTTGGGGACATTGTGAATCTTACCTCTTTGGTTACTGGATAATTTTGTACTCCTATAAATACTTTTGAGTTTGTTCTGGAATTCATTTACTTTACTTGGGAACTGATCCTTTCTGGTATTGCTTTAAGCTCAGCTTTTCCCCACTACTAAGGTAAAAACCTCCTGAGAACACTATGAATGCCATGTAAATCATGAAGAGTTCCACTCTGACTGGTGAGAACAGGAATTCTCCCCAATCCCAAGTGGACTCCAGGCATTCCTCCCTTTAATCTTCTCAGATGATACCTTTCTTGGCCTCTGATACATTTTTCATTCAGATGTTCTGGTCAGTACTCAGCTAAAAACCTAATGTGGATGCTCTGCAGATCTGTCTAGGCAGCTCTCTTCTCTCCTGTACTTTGCACTCTGAATCCTACCTGCTCTGGTTTCATAATTCTCAGTTCTATCTCCTCACCTCAGGAAGACCGCCATACAGTGTAGTGTGGCAAGAAACCCTCAGGCACTAGGCTGGGGTGATCACAGGGCTCATCTCATTGCCTAATCTCCAATGTCTTAAAAACTATTGTTTTTTAAATTTTGTCTTTTTTTTTTTTTTAAGTTGTTTCAGGTGGGAGGGTATATCCAGTTCCTGTTACTCCCTCTTAGCCATAAGCAGGAATCTGTTTTTGTTTCTTCCTTTCTACTTTCTGGTCTTTATTTAGGATTATCATGTGTGAGTTTTTTGTGATTATTTTTATCCCTTTAATCTATTAATTACACATTTTTTAAACATTATTCTGTAGTGGTTAACCTTGAAATTTTAATACTGAACCTTGAGTAATGATAATTAAGTAGGCATTACTACTTCTCCAACTTCTTTGAAAGTCCTAGAAACCAAGCACACTGAGTCCATTTCTTCCCTCTTGGCTTTTGTGTTATCGATGCCATGCATTTTAATTCTACATATCTATTTGCTATGTAAGCATTATTGGTTTTCTTTTGTGCAGTTAATATGCTCTTATATTTACCCACAGACCTAAGCTCCTTCCCTCACCCCTTATTTTTTGCTCTTATTTCCTTCCTGAATTTTCATGTTTCCTTTTCCTTTAGTCTACAGCACTCCATTTAGCTGTTCTTTAGGCAGAGTTCTACTACTATTCTTTAGGTAGAGTTCTACTAAAGTAGAACTAAAGTTCTATTTTAGGTAGCTACTAGGTAGACATACTCTTTATATTTTTATTTATTTGAAAACATCTTTCTTTTATTTTTGAAAATATTTTTAGTAGTTACAGCATTCTTGGTTTATTTTCATTTAACATATTAAAGATGTTATTCCACTTTCTCCTTGTTTTTATCACTTATGTTAAGAAGTTCATCAGTCCTATTACTGCTTGTTTGAAGGTAACTTTTTTTCTCTTAATAATATCAAGATTTTCCCTTTCCCTTAATTTCCATCCGTGTTATACTGAGGCTCCAATTAGATGATGTTACCCCACATATCTATATATGCTCCCAGTACTCCTACTAGCACACCACAAAACTGGCCTGGGCATGTGCTGCTTCTGCCAAGATCTTGAAGTTGAATCAGGAACACACCTGCACAATGCTGGGGTCAGGACCATACCATATTTACTGTAATTGTTATCAACAGTAAATACTCCATAACCTGCCCCTTGACATCCAGGAAGCTAGACTCTAGAGTCTCAGGCTTCTGCTGCACCAGTTTCAGTAAAGCCATGTGCTTCCAGGATTGTTCAAACTAGGCAAAATGGTAGAACCAACATAAATGTGGCTTCTGCTTTATGATATTCACTTTTGACATCTGTTTTTTTCTGAGCATGCATCTACTGGGTAAAATCTAGGTTGGTATAAGAGCTGTGGTGTCCTGAAGTCTTGGAAGTGTACTTTGGCATGTATTAAGCAAACTTTACAGGAGATACAAATAAGAGAAGTGAGCCAAACTTTTCGTTGTTTATCCCTAATGTGAGAATTTTGGAAAAATGTTGGGTAGAAATGATATTTTGTCAAGTATGTATATAGTCCATAGAATATACTCAGTTATATAATTAAAAAGAAACTGTTGTTATAGTTGGCTATTCAAAACCTATATGAAGTAGAGAGATTTTAGATTTTTATTATTGACAGGTAAGTTTGAGAGATAATGAAGGAAGAAAGAAGGAAAGAGAATTAGAGAGAATGACACATTTATAATTTCACCTTTATTATCTTTTAATATTTCCACTAAATGCATTATTACCCCTTTTCCCCCCTGAATTGAGATATACTTCCTTGGAATGTAATTATGAAATTTGGCTTAGGATTTTATTTCTAAAATCATTTTTAATAGCGACTTTTTTAGGGATCAGCAAAATGTGGAGTACTAAATTATCCTCAGCAGAATTTCCATAACATGCTTGAGGTAGCCACTATTTTTACAATTATTTTAGAAATGTGGAAATGTAGGTACAAATGAGTTCTCATTTTCCAAAGTCACAATCTGTATATTGAGATTATAAATCAGCATTGAGTGACTCCAAAGTCTTCCTAACATGACAACTCTCTGGAAAAAAATGAGGCTGTGGGGCGCCTGGGTGGCTCAGTCAATTAAGTGCCTGCATGCAGCTCAGGTCAGGATCCCAGAGTCCTGGGATCCAGCCTGAACCGAGCTCCCTGCTCAGCGGGGAGTCTGCTTGTCTCTTTCTCTCTGCCCCTCCCCCACAATTGCCAGAGCGCACGTGGGCGAGCTCTCTCTCTCAAATAAAATATTTTTTTAAAAAATGAGGTTGGGTACTTTTCTGACACTGTTCACAAAGATTTATTTTAAATTCATTGATTAAAAATTAAACCAAAGGAGTGTTTTAAGATACCATGGCAATATAGAGAGAAAGGGGTGAGAGAGAAACGCGCACGCACGTGAGGGGAGGGGCAGAGGAAGAGAATCCTTAAAGCAGACGCCCGGTGAAACAGGGAGCCCAGATGCAGGACTCAATCCCACAACCTATGAGATGCTGGTATATTCTGTTTCTTATTGTGAAATGTGTTCAGCTAGTGAGCATTCATTGTTCTGTGCTGTTATGGCATGTGTACTTTTCTCTGAATGTATTTTATTTTAATAAAAAGTTACAAAATAAAAATAACAGCTCTCACCTCACTATATTATTTTATAGTTCAAATTAAAACGCATTAGAATGTAAACTCCATGAGGACCGTAATTTTAATCTTTTTCTTTCCACTGCTATATACCCAAGATTAGAGCAGGACCTGGTATACAGTGATCACCTAGAACATTTTTCACACATGAATGATAATAGAGCACATGCTGATTTCATCACCCGCCACAGAACACAAACACTCTAAACATTAGACATTACTATCAATAATACAGTTTTATCATTGCTTGAGACAAGTAGGTCATTTTTCTCTTTAAGCGGTGTAACCTAGACAACTGTGTTTTCACATGAGGTATCCATTACCTCATGTATCTAAGTTCATCTCTCCATTTGATCAATGGTGGTAAAGAAATCAATGGCCACAGGTGAACTTTACTCCATGGACTTACAATAGGGAATTGAAGTTGAAAATTTACCTTGATCTTATGCAGCCTGAGTTAATGATTTGTGCTGTTGCTATTGTTGCCCTTATAAATTATTGCATTCTTATTGGACTCTGGCATGAAAAGTATTGTTGATTAACATAGTCATGTTATTTTAGAATTATTTGAAAATATTTTAAATGAAATATAAGTTTTGTTACAAAGACACTTCAACAGATGTTGTAAATAATTAACTTTTTCTTCAGGCAAAGTATTGTGTACTTAATGAGTCCTTAGTGCTTTAGAATTGTTAAAATCTTTGTTGGGCACACCATTGAAGATGAGGTCAAAAGATTTGGCTTTTATCATCATATTAATCATCTCAGGAGAAGTCTATGCAGAAGGTAAAATTAATTTTTCATATTCCTTATTCTCTAAAAATTATAAAGGGAAATTCTAACATTCATTTAACTTGAACTTTTATAGTCTTTCATTTTTGTGTATCAACTTTATAAAAAGCATACTTCTTATAATTTGTTATAAATACATAAGCAGATTTTTTTTTCCTTTGGGCATAACTAGTAAACTATTCTTAGAGTGACAAACTTAGAAAAACAAAAGACAAAAAAGAAAAAAAAAGCTTTGTATCTCTAGGTTTTGTGACATAGGAGGTGAGGATCTAAACACTGTAAAGGATTTTCAGTCTAACAGTACCACCATTTAGAAGTCGTATGTTAATCTTAATTCTAATTTCATACTAGAATTTATCCTAACATTGCACAGCTTGTAAAATTTTAATTCTCTCTTCATAAAGTTCATAAAGTGAGAGCTTAGTGTAGGAGATTTGAAAAAGAAATAGCCATGAATCATCAAGATTTTTGAATCTTCACCCTTTGATTTTTATCCTAATTTATTCATTGGTTGAAATTTGTAAGTAGTGATTAGAAGGAGGACTGTATAATTGGTTATGCAGATAAGGACACTTTTGAGAGTGAAATGGAGCTCTATTGATAGTTATGTGAGACACCAGTGTAAGTTACAACTGTCCAAACCAATACCCATGGACTCCCTAACTCTTAGAAATCTTTATAGCCAGAGCTCCGTGTGTAAATAAGTGTGAGTGAAGCAGGCAATATATAAGTGTGGGTTATTTAGGAATAGTTAATAGTGTTATTAGGCTGTAGGGATAAGAAACAAGAAAGGATAATTAGGTGTCAGCAAGAGTGAATATACAAAAAAGGAAACCACAGCAGTAAGACTTTTCTAAAATAAACACCTTAGGGAATCTGTTGAAATAAAATATCCTATGGATTATAATTGCCTTGTAGGTAATAGTTTGCTACAAATTTCCTACCAAAAAGGGTCTGCAATTAAGATTATGAAAGTGAAATAAATAGAATTCATCTTATTTGATACATTCAATTCTATAATAAGATAATTTTTGCATGAATAGTTTCCTTTGGTTTTATTTTTCTGTCTAAATAGGGAAAAACCACCTGATATAATTCTCTGTCATCTATATACCATGAAGACATTGCATTTTCCTCAGGATGCCTGGGTGGCTCAGTTGGTTAAGCGTCTATCTTCAGCTCAGGTCATGATCCCAGGGTCCTGGGATCAGGTCCTGCTTCGGGCTCCTTGCTCAGTGGGAAGCCTGCTTCTTCCTGTCCCTTTCCCTGCTTGTGCTCTCTCTCTCTGACAAATAAATAATAAAATCTTAAAAAAAAAAAAAAAGACACTGCATTTCCCAGATAATTTCCTAATTATTATATGGTTATAATCTTCTTTTACTCAAACAAACAAACAAGCTAACAATAATCTCATCTTTCCATGCTTTCTCTCATCCCCATTAGGAATATTTGGGGCAAGAATTGAATTAATGGTACTTCCCATTTTGTGGCAGGCAATCACCATTGGCCTATGAAAGTTTCCACTTTTGCTTTATTTATACACTTCCTCCCTTTATCCCTGACCCTGAATTCCGTTTCCCCTAGCATCAAACTGGGAGCCACTATTGTGTGTTTGATATATTCTTAAATATGATATGTAACTATCTTTCTGAATTTTGTCTTCTTTTGTGTATGTGCTTTACATTCACATAAATGAAAGCTTGCCATCAGTTTGATCTCTGTACTGTTTTGTTTTACTTGCTATCATTTAAATACATTTCCATGCTGCTGAATCTATTCTGTTGCTTTTAACTGCTGCATAGTGTTTCAGATATTTTACTTATCCATCTTACTTGTGATGGACACATCATTACCTCTAATTTCCTTCTAACCACAAATAACGTTTAGAATTATGAATGTGTCATATAATCACCTTATTTCTTGTTAAAATTTGTCCTGTATATGTTCACATGTGTGTTTTTTTGTTTTTTGGGGGGTTTTTTTAGATTTTATTTATTTGACAGAGAGAGACACAGTGAGAGAGGGAACACAAGCAGAGGGAGTGGGAGAGGGAGAGGCAGGCTTCCCACTGAGCAGGGAGCCCGATGCGGGGCTCGATCCCAGGACCCCGGGATCATGACCTGGGCAGAAGGCAGACACTTAACGACTGAGCCACCCAGGCGCCCCATGTATGTTTGAAAATTGCTAAGAGAGCAGTTCTTAAAAGTGCTCATCACAAGGGAAAAAAAATTGTAACTCTGTGGTAACAGATGTTAACTAGATTTATTGTGAGATCATTTTGTAATATGTGCAAATATACATGTGGAACCATTGTTCTGTATATCCAAAACTAGTATAATATTAACCTCAATTATACCTCAATAAAAAATTATGTCAGTACATATAATATTTACTTATGTGTAACAGGCTTCTTTCACTAAGTAATATGTTTGTGAGATTCACTATTCAACATTCACTACTGCTGCATGATATTCAGCATTGTATCGCTGTATAATATTCCATTGAATGCATGTCTAAAATGTGTTTATCTTTTCTTCCATGGAATGGGCATTGGGATTGTTTCCAGTTTGGGACTACATGAATAGTGCTGCTATGAACATTCTTTTACATGTCTTTGAGTGCACAGATAAATACTTTTATTCCATCTTTCATTTTGTTGATGTGGTGTGTAACATTGACCAATTTTCATATGTTGAACCATCCTTGCATTCCAGGGATAAAGCCCACGTGCTCATGGATCCTTTTACTATGCTGCTGAATTCTGTTTGCTAGTATTTTGTTGAGAATTTTTGCAGCAGTGTTCATAAGGGATGAGTACTTTTTAAAAATGGCATGTGTACATTCTGCCTTAATATTGCCAAAGAAAGCTGAGTACTTTTTATGAGGTCTGTGACCATTTACATGTCCTGTTTTGTAAAGCTCTTGCTCGAGCAAGATTTTTTAAATTTATTAAATAAGATTTTTTTAAACTTATTTTTTATTTTTTAATTATTTTCTTATTATTTATAATTATTTTTTAATTAGTTTCTGTCTTTTTATTTAAAAAAAGCCATTCATTTCAAAGTTTTGTGGGTTTGCCTATGTAAGTAGAACTTCATCTGTTCTAGAACCCTGCTGTCCAATATGGTGGCCACTAGGTACATACAGCTATTGAAATGTGGTTAGTCCAAATTGGAAGGGGCTGTAAGTATAAATACACTCTGGAGTTCAGACTTAGTAAGAAAAAAAATGAAAAACATTTTTAATATTTTAATGGGTTAAATAAAATGTATTATTAAAATTAACTTCAACTGTTCCTTTTATTAATGTGACTACTAGAAATTTTAAAATTACATATGCAGCTTGCATTATATGTCTATGAGAAAGTGCTGTGTTACAAAGTTAGGGAAAGCTTCCCTGAGGAAGTAGCCTGACCAGCTTTATTCTGACTGTTGGTTATTGGGGTTACTAGCAGATTAATTCTGACTGAAAAAGATTGCCACAGAATCCCCTTAAAAAGTCAGGTAATAAAAATAAGTACGAGTTAAAGTCACTGCAAACACTTTGAATTTAAAAATTTACTGCCATTTGATCACACATTCCATGGTTTTAGATATGTTTTTCAGTTTTCAGCTTGATATTTACTCATTTCAGAGAAACCCTGTGGTCTTCCTAGTGTGGAAAATGGAAGGATTGCCCAATATTACTATTCTTTTAAAAACTATTACTTTCCAATGAGAATAAATGAAAAACTGTTGTTTTCCTGCTTGGCTGGTTATACCACTGAAACTGGGAAACAAGAGGAGCGAATCACATGTACCCAAGAGGGCTGGTCTCCAGAACCACGTTGCTTCAGTGAGTCTGTGGGCTGTGTCCACAAAATGTTTATAATATTTAAAGAGATCAGTCCATAAAGGTCCAAGAAAACCTGGTGGGTGGTGAAACCTTTTGGTTGATAAGAACAAATTACTGGCCCACTGTCTCTTTTACAAAATGAAGACATATTTTGAAATTCTGTAAATAATATTTCTTATTAAAGTGTTATTGTCTTTGTTTTTAATAATACCCTGTAAAGAGAATTGGATAATTATTGAAAATGGTATTATCATATTGCAAGAAACAGATGCAAATGAGTTACTTTAAGGAATGAGGAACTTATACAGATAATAATGCATAGGAAGCGAGAAAAATGCTTGACACTGGACTTAGGAAGAATAAAATTGTTACTCCAGTGTTTTATCCTTTGAAAGACTCATCTCTCCTTTGTGTGCCAACTTCTCCCACAAATTCAGAAAAATGAGTTTTCTGAATTTTGAGTTCAAATTTAGAAAAAGGAAATCTGATTGGTTCATCTCATTATTTCACGCCAGGCTACCCTATAGTCAAACTATTAATGGGCTTCCATTAGATCAGCTGACCTCTCCTGAACAAAAGATTCTCTAAGCTCTGTTTTGCAGAATAGAGGCTTTAGTTGGGTTTGTTTTATTTAGAAGAGGAAATGAGTATGATGGTTACCATGCTTGATATATCTAGTGAACATATCCATTTAGGATAATTATCCTTTCCATGACTTGAGAACAGACCATAAATTTAAGCATCGCACTTTTAGTATTAACATAGACCACAGATTAACTCAAAGAAAGAAAGAAAGATTCATAACTAGAGCTTAAAAATAAATTTAACATTAGCAAGAGCTTTGAAATAGGCACCAGAAGAGAAGAACTCAGGTTTAGCATGTAGTGTAATGGTTAAGATGCAATCTCTGCAGTTCACCTGCCTGCCTTTGAATTCTGCTCCACCATTGGAAAGTGAGCATTGTGAGCCTGTTTCTCATCTATAAAATGGGCATAAACCTGCTTCATTAAGATAATCCATATAAAGTGCTTGCCACACAGCAAGTACTATATATATTTAATACTAACCTTGGACAAGTCTCTTAACCTTTCTGAATTGGTTTGTTATGAGGGTCTAATAGTAGGGCTTAAAAAATTACTGAGCTCATTCAGTGCTGAGGTACATATATTATCTAACACAACATTGTTGCAAGTATTTGATAAAAAATAACTCTGCAAACTCAAAGGTTTTGAGTAACATGTCTATGATTCAGTCACGGTCTACACAGCCTGACCATGGACTGGCTACACGGACTTATTGTGTGGCCAGGTGATCATTTGCTGAGTTAAAAGAAAAAAAAGAATGAACAAAGTTTTCACATTAAGGTATCTGCAGACTTATTTAAGGATCCATAAGCTGGGTATGTGCTTTTGTTACATGGTGTTAAAAATTGTCAAACACAGTAGATTTAAAAATATTAGGAAGTAAATCCAAATGAAATTCCTTCCATTTGCCATTAATGACAATTAGTGAAAGAGCTCTGTTATATTTTCTAAAAGTAGATATGATAGGGTGGGAGTCACTACAAGAACTGAAGTCAGTAAGCACAAAGAATGTCATTGTCAAGTTGAATCAGTTTTTGAAGAAATTTGATGCAGAACATGCAGGATAATTCCAAAATTAAATCAAATCAAGGAATTGAGTGAAATTTTTCTCTCTCCTTTAAATTCCAAGAAAAATATTAAACTTTTGCCTTGGTTTTACAACTAAGTAAAGGACAAGCTTAATTTCACCAAGTTAAGCACAGATTTTTTTCCCACAGAAAAATGCACTAAGCCTGAGCTGAGAAATGGTTACATCTCTGATGTAACATTAATGTACAAAATTCAAGAGAACATGCGTTATGGTTGTAATTCAGGATATAAAACCACTGGAGGAAAGGATGAAGAAGTGGTTCAGTGTCTTGCTGATGGATGGTCTTCTCAACCTACCTGTAAGAAGGAACATGGTATGTGTTTAAGAATCACTTCCCAAAACTGAAGATAAGAGACTGCGAGGCTAGTACTTATATTGATAGGCATTTTTATTTAATAGAATTAATTTTTCAGTATGTCTGCAAATGCAAGAAGTTGATATTATATTGTTTTTCTTAAATGTTAGGTGTTTCCTTAACCCAAGAGTTCTCAATTCCCACAACTCACCTACTGCATTAGTTCCTATTTAATTTTTTTAACATTAATAGACTTATTTTTAGAGCAGTTTTGGATTTGCAGAAATATTGAGCAGCTAATACAGAGAGTTCCCATGTACCCCTTCTTGCCCTTGGCCACATACACTTTCCCCTATTATTTGCATTTTGCATTTAGTGTAGTATATTTGTTGTAATTGATGAGCCAATACTGATACATTAACTGAAGTTCATACTTTAGGGTTCATTCTTTATCTTATACATGCTATGGATTTTGTCCAGCGTATAATGTCATGTATCCACCATTAAGATATCATACAGAATAGTTTCAATGCCCTAAGAATCCCCTGTGTTCAACCTATTCATCCATTTTTCCCTTCCACCAACCGTTGGTGGATCTTTTTTTTTTTAATTGCAGTAAAATATATATAACATGAAATTTTAACTATTTTTAAGTGTACAATTCCATAGCATTAAGTTCATTCACATGTTGTATAACCATCACTACTATTTCCAAAACCTTTTCATCAACCCAAACAGAAACTCTGTACCCGTTAAACAACAAACCCCTCTATCCCCCACCCTACCCCAGTACCTGGTAACTTCTATTTTCTGTCTCTATCAGTTTCCTTATTTTAGGTACTTTGTATAAGAGGAGTCATGCAATATTATTCTTTTGTGTCTGACTTATTTCACTTAGCATAATGTATTCAAGGTTCATCTATGTTGTAGCATGCATCAGAATTTAATTTCTTTTTATGGCTAAATAATATTCTATTGTGTATGTATATAAATATACATATGCATATATAGATACATCATATATACACACTTTGTTTATCCATTTATCCACTGATGGACACTTGGGTGGGTGGCAGTTCTTCTAAAAATTAAACATAGCATTACCATAGGATCTAGTGAATAAATGAAATCTTAAAAAAAAAAAGAGTGGAATGGAATAGGATGAAAAAAACCTTAAACCTTTTTCTGGCAACATATATAAATTACTGTTTCCTTTATTAGAGAAGAATTCGAGATAATGCCCATTATCTTTATTGGTAAACCAATATCAGGCATACTTAAAATAATCCAATAATTTGAATATGTATACTTTGTTAGTGTGTTTTTAGTTGTTTAAATTGTACAAATCCTCAGATGGCACAGAATCAAAAAAGCTGTACAAGGCTTCAGTTGAATTGTGGCCTTGTGCCAAGTATACTAGAGTAGAATTTCAAGAATAGAAGACTGGTGGCATTAAGACACAAGGTGTATTAAAAAAAAGGAAATAGAGACGCAAAGGCAAACTGGCTATTTTTCAATTTGGCCAAAGGTGGATTCAGCCAAATATGCTTAAGATTTTGTGAAAATACATTTTGAGATATCTTTTTAATATTATAGTTTTAGTGATAAATTTCATAAAATAAATAACGTTGATTTTTTTTTTTAGAAACATGTTTGGTCCCTGAATTATACCATGGAAATTATTCCACAACGCAGAAAACATTCAAAGTGAAGGACAAAGTACAATATGAATGTGCTGCTGGCTACTATACAGTTGGAGGAAAGAAGACCGAGGAGGTAGAATGTCACACATATGGATGGTCTCTCACACCAAAATGTACCAGTAGGTTCTCATTTTAAAGACAATCTAGTCTCATTTTAAAAACTTTCTCTCGTCCAGAAGTGTATATAAATTGTCACACTCATGTTTCATTTTTCATACTTTTTTGGGTTTTTTTTTTTTGCTTCTGGTTTTAATTATTTTGATCATAGGCTTTGATCACTTAAAGCTCTCAAATAGAAAAAGAATTTCTTTTAGCTCAGATAATTACATTAAAATAAGCCTAATGATATTTAATAAATATAGGAATTGAGAAGCTTTTGTTATATATAACAAAATATGGCAAATTTACTAATTTCTATTACAGATATGGTATATAAGTAGTAGGTGAATTTTGTTCAACAGAAAAAATAACACTTTTGTATTTTATTTGTTCTTTCATTTTTAGAATTAAAGTGCTCTTTAAGATTAATAGAAAATGGTTATTTTCATCCTATAAAGCAAACATACGAAGAAGGAGATGTAGTTCAGTTTTTCTGTCATACAAATTATTATCTAAGTGGATCTGACTTAATTCAGTGCTATAACTTTGGTTGGTACCCAGAATCTCCTGTATGTGAAGGTAATTTTTAAAATTTCACACTCGTACAAATAAAATATCACGTCTTAATCAGCTTTAATTTCTATGAAAAAAAATGTTTCTGATGATATCTAATTCTTGTCCTGAGTGCTTTTTTTTAAGTTTCAGAGGCAGAGTTTAGTGATTTATCAGTTGCATACAACACCCAGTGCTCATTACTTCAAGTGCTTTCCTTAAAATGCCCATCCCCCAGTTACCTCATCCCCCCACCCACCTCCTCTCCTGCAACCCTCAGTTTCCTAGAATTCAGCGTCTCCTACGGCAGCGTCTCCTATGGTTTACCTCCCTCTCTGTTTTCGTCTTATTTTATTTTTCCTTCCCTTCCCCTATGTTCATCTGTTTTGTTTCTTAAATTCCACATATGAGTGAAATCATATAGTATATGTCTTTCTCTGACTGACTTATGATTACTCAGACATCAAAAAGAAGGAAATCTTGCCATTTGCAACGACGTGGATGGAACTAGAGGGTATTATGCGGAGGGCTGTTTTTAAAAATAAGTATGGTCTTTTAAACCATTGCTAGATATTTTCAGCAATATTTAATCTGGAAGAAATCTTAAATTTTGCATTAGTTTGTAAAGTGGATATAACTTTTAAACTCTCTTATTATAACGAATAAAATTTATTGGGAATTACTAGACCCAGCTATCCCAAGCTGGCAGCTTTGTGAGGGTTCTTTCCTATTTGGCTACATATTTCCTGATGTGAAAAAACAGTCTTCAAAATGGTGGGGTAAAGAACAGAAAAATCAGGAGAATATTACCCAGAGTAAAAACGAAAACTATGGTCCTCGAGTAAGAGCTCTCCTAAAATGTAATGTCTATGTATGGTAAGTTTCTACCACTGGACATGTCCAAGCAGATAGTATGATCACCTATTGGGAAACAACAATTCAAGCATCATTTAAACATACCTACAATGAGATATGAAGGAAGTCCAAGCCTAGCAGAGGGAACAAATTTGAAAAAGTAATTGACATAATGTGACAAATATAATCAAGTCAGGTATAAAGTATTTGAACAAACCCTGAAGATTTTGATTGGTGTGGTGTGGGATAGCATTTTTGGAGGTGATGGATAACATTTGAACTGAAAGATAAAAAGGAGTTTGAGGATTGGGGGGTTGGGGAGAGGTAAAGGTCTTGATAGCCTCTATTTTCTCTGTGGTATAGAAATTAATGTCATTATTGATAGACAAGAGGAAGACAGGAAAGTGGAACTTGGAAGAGGGGGTGAATATTTGAAGCAAATGCTAGGAGGGATGGAAGAGGGAGATGACCAGGGGTATGAAATGAGATTGCCCAGAATGATCCTAATTCTTTAAATGCACCAAATGATAACTTCAATGTTTTTATTTTAGTTTTTAATTTTCCAGTCCTGCCCAAGAACCTTGGTCTAACAGTAGAGAAGAAGATTGTTAGCAAATTGTCTCTAGCATGTTATTTCAGAAATAAATGGTAAACCTACTTAATATCTACTCCACCAGCCCCCATCCAAATTAGCATGGAAGTGTGCCTGTTATTTTCTCTAGTAAATAGTCATTAGATGTAGGGTAGGCAGTGCAGTTAGCTGAATAATAATAAATTACATCCTAATCCCCAGAACCAGTGAATGTTACCTTACTTATATGGCTAGAGGGACTTCGCACATGTGATAAAATTAAAGATCTTGAGGTAGGAATAATTTCTGGGATTATCCATGTGGACCCTAAATATAATCACAAGCCTCTTTATAAGAGGGAGGCAGAGGGAAATTTGACTACAGAGTGGAATAGAGATGTGACAATGGAATGGAAGCAAGAGGTTGGAGCAATAAGAGGAAAGGTCATGTGCCTAGGAATGCATGCAGCCTCCAGAAGCTTGAAAAGGCAAAGAAACTGATTCATAAAGCTTGCAGAAGGAATGCAGCTCTCCTGACAACTTGATTTTAGCCCAATGAAACTGATTCTGGACTTTTGGCTTCCAGAACTGTAAGAGAATAAATTTGTGCTATTTTAAGCCACTTTATTATAATAATTTGTCACAAGAGCAATAAAAAATTAAGACAGTCTGTGTTTTAGAATACTGAAGAACAGGTTTTATTTAATTCATATAGACATAGGTACAAGAACAGATCCACCATTTAATAGTTAATTTACTTACTTCAGAAGTTTCAGTTTATTTATCTATAATATGAGAGAAAAATTGTCCCTGCTTAATAAAGTTATTTTAGGATTAGAGGAGGTAATGAATGCTGTTTTAATTTGCTTGCTTTTTTAGTTTTCTATTGGTCCATAACAATGCCATTACAAATTTAGCAGCTTAAAACAGCACACTTGTATTATTTCATAATTTCTATAGGAGTCTGAGCCTAACTTATCTGGCTCCTCTGCCCTCCTGTAGGACAAAGCTACAATAAAATGTCAGCTGGGGCTTCAGTCTCATCTGAGGCTTGACTGGGGAAGAATCTGCTTTCAAACTCATGGTTATTGGTAGCACTGAGTACTTGGCCGACAGCTGAACTGAGAGCCTCAATTTCTTCTTGGCTGCCAGCTGGAGGCAGCCCTCTGCCTCTTGCCTCCCCATTTGGAAACTTACAATGTGGGGGCTTGCTTTTTATCAAAATCAGCAGGAAAATAGTCTCTCAGCAAGAATGGCCTTACCATCCTCTGTTGCATATCATGCATACATAATCACATACTCCCATCTTCTTTGCTGCATTCATTGGTTAGAAGCAAGTCACAATTCCTGCTTATGAGGAGGGTTATCACACAAGGAAGTGAACAGCAAAAACATCAAAAGTGGAGATCAAGGGGGTGACCCTAGGGTCTGTCTTCCATACTTCCTATGGTACTTGGCTCTATGAATGTGCTTATTAAATCTACATATTATTTTTTGTAATTATATGACTAAATATGGTGATTTTTTTTTAATAAGGAAGAAGAAATCGATGTCCTCCTCCACCTCTGCCTCTAAACTCCAAAATTCAAAGATATTCAACAACTTATCGTGATGGAGAAACAGTTCATGTAGAATGTGAACTTAATTTTCAGATACAAGGATCAGAAGAAATACGTTGTAAAAATGGAAAATGGACAGAACCTCCAAAATGCATTGGTTAGCAACACCTTAATCTGCTTTCTCTAAAATGAAGTCTGCATGTGCAGCTAAATGGTCTCTTCTCTTTAATTGGTCTCTTTTCAGAAGAAAAGGAGAAGACAGCCTGTGGGGACCCACCCTTCATTGAGAATGGTACAGCAAACCTGGACTCTACAATTTATTACAATGGGGATAAAGTGGCATATGAATGTAAAAGTGGGTATCATCTTCATGGATCAACAGAAATAACTTGTAAACGTGGAAAGTGGACACATCCTCCTGAGTGTGTTGGTATGTATGCTACACTTACCAGTGATAGCTGAGCCTGTTGTGTAAAAATTTTTCATTTTCCTTATTTAATCCACATATTTCTTAGAAAACACACTGATTCAGCACCTACTCTGCTACGTTTTTTGTGTGTATGAAGCCTTCTTAGAATTTAACCCAATATAAAGAATTGGGAAACTAAAAAAAATTTTTTTGAATATACATTAGTGCTAACTAAGCACTCTTATCTGACCTGTTTGACACCATGACTTCTGAGCTTTAGATGAAAGCACATAAGTAACAGTGGAATGGGTGACTGGCCTTGATCATGATCTACTTTCTCTTCCTTCATGTCCTACAAAGTCATGTTAGAGCACTCTGTTCCTGCCTTTGGGTCAATCCTTCTGATATTACTTATGCATCTGGCCAGTTTGAGCCCTACACCATTCTGAGACCTGTCCCTGGTCTTTTGTTTCACTAACGCACAACCAGGCTATGGTCACACCCACTCCTGGGTGCTACAGTTCCTGTCACCCTTCTCATTTCTTGATCTCTCCTAGAAAGATCTCCACAAACATGTTTACTTAAGATATTTATTGCATAAGAGAAAAGCTATTGAGGATGCTAAAGAAATGAGCAGAGTAAAAGAAAAACTAAAGAGAGAAAAAGTAGACAATTTTATCCATGGATTGACTGAGATCTGGGATGAAAAGAATGAGAATTAAAAAATAAAAGTGGATAATGACAAAAAATAGTTTTAGAATTGACCATAATCTTCAGGTTGTTGTTTACCTTTCTATACATTTTAAGAATATCTGTATCATGATTCCTTCATAAGAAAAGTGACAGATATGTGTTTTTAGGCAAAACATTTACTGTTTATTCTTAGTAATTTTTAAAATATTTGGTCTGAATAACATTTTTCTCATTTCTGGAGAATTTAGAAATCAACTGTCCTAAACTATGTAATACAAATAATGAGGGACAGGAGTATGAGTAACTATATGATATCATTAGGTTGTTATAAACTCATATTAATTTTAAAATAACCTCTTTTCTTAGAAAATAATGAGAATTGTAAGCCTCCACCTGATGTAATAAATGGGGCTGTTGTTGATGGATTATTGGCAAGCTACACAACAGGATCCTCGGTGGAATATAGATGCAATGAATATTACTTACTGAGTGGAGCAAAAGTATCTCACTGTGAACAAGGAAGATGGTCATCCCCACCTATTTGCTTAGGTAAGACAGAGAACACATTGTATTTTTTTAAAAAAATTTCTCAGCTCTATTGAGATACAATTGACATATAACATACGAATTTAAGGTGTACAATGCCATGAGTTGATACACATATATGTTTTGAAGTGACTACCACAATCAGGTTAATTAACATTCCCTTCATTTCACATAGTCATAGTTGTACTACTGTTGTTCTTGTCTTTATGATGAGTGCATTTAAGATCTACTCTCTTGGCAACGTTCAAGTATTCAAAACAATATTGTTAACTATAGTCACCATTATGTATGTTAGATCCCTAGAACTTATTCCTTTCATAACAACCCACTGAATTTCTTATACCATTACATTTGTATTTTTATGTGATTTTTTATATAACATTTTATAGCATGGAAATGATGATTTTTGTATAAATTTTTTTTCCAAAGTGTTTTTCCTTCTCATTTTTTAAGCAGAATATCTAATATCAGAGGGTCTAAAACTACATTAGTTCTTACCTACTACTTTTTAAAAATTGTGGTAAAATTTGAACAACAGAACTTTACCATGTTAGCCATTTTTCAGTGTTCATTTCAATGGCCTTAAGTAGATTCACATTTTTGTGACTGATTACTTTTTTCCTAACTGATATCCTCAGCATCTCTCCCTATATTGTCCCCAGAATGTCATTTGGAGAGACTAATCAATCCAATTCTTTCCTTGGTAGAGCATATTGTTAATAGCTTTCTTGGCTGTCAATTCCTCACTTGAATGGTCACCTTTGTTCTATTTTGTTGAGCAAATAAAAACATGTTTATGATTACTTTAAATGTATTTTGAATTAAGACATGGTATAACTAACATTAATGATTCAAGTGGAGATTTAAGAGAGCTATCTAAATAATTATCCCGTTTGAGATAATTTTCAAAACATAATATTCACCTTTCATTTAAAGCCTATAGATTTGCCTCATTTTTTAAACTTTGCTAGTCAGAATTACATTTAAAAGTAATGTAATTGGTCACTACAGTTGCAATGAACTTATGTTGTAACTTTTACAAATAGGTAATGGTATCATAAACTTTCTCTAAGTTAAAATAAAATAATCACTTAATTATAAATATTAGCATTTCAAACTATAAATGCAAATCGTTATTTACCAAAAAAAATAATAATTATATAGAAGCAACTAGAAGAAAACAGAAAATATCAGTAACTTGGGCTGAAACAAATGCTATTAATGACTTAGATAATGGTTTTCTAAACCTTTTTATACACACACACACACACACATAACACACAACACATATTTACAAAAAATATATGCTGTCATGAGAGGCTATGTAACTCGTTTTTTTCCCACAAACTATATTGTGAACATGGTTGGATATACTTCTACAATATACAGTTTAATGGCTACCTAGTATTCCATAATGCAGATATGCCATAATTAAATTAGTCACTTTTTGATGGAAGTTTAGTGTGTTTTCAACATTGCCAAATTGTCCTTCAGAAAGTTAATCCACTCTACCATCAGTGGATTAAAGAGTAGTTGTCTTAATCCTTGTCAACTTGAATATTTTAATCTTCATATATTGTTAACCCAACAATTAAAGTTATTTTAATTTGGTTTATTTAAGTACTAATCAATTGAGTTTATTTTCATTTGATTTAAGTATTAATATATTAACTTTTTAATATATATTAATATCTTTCATTTGGTTTATTTAACTATACTCAATTGAGCATTTTTCAATTTTCTAGTGGCCACAGGTTGTTTTATTCAATGATAAAGTGCATCTCTTCTAGCTTAAATAATTTTTTTAAGATTTTATTTATTTATTTGACAGAGAGAGACACAGCAAGGGAGGGAACACAAGCAGGGGGAGTGAGAGAGGGAGAAGCAGGCTTCCTGCTGAGCAGAGAACCCGATGCGGGGCTCGATCCCAGGACCCCGGAATCATGACCTGAGCTGAAGGCAGACCCTTAACTGGACCACACAGGCGCCCCTTAAATAATAGTTTTTAGTGTTCAAATTAAGTGGTTTTAATTTATAATATAACAATAATAATAAGAGATGTATAAATTCATTTGATAGCAATAAAGTGTATATTATGTATATGTGTGAGGAGTTTTAATAATGTAAATGTTAAATATAAAACTTTGCTTTTGATACCTGTCAAAATTTTTCTTTCAAAAATACATTAAACTTCATATTTGTCAAATGAATAAATAATTTAAAAGAACATTTTGTTTTACAGAGCCATGTACTATTAATGTGGATTACATGTACAGAAATAACATAGAGATGAAGTGGAAGTATGAAGGAAAGGTCTTACATGGAGATTTAATAGATTTTGTATGTAAACAAGGATATGACTTATCTCCATCAACCTCGTTGTCTGAATTATCTGTACAATGCAATAGAGGAGAAGTGAGATATCCTTTATGTATTAGAAAAGGTAAAACAATGCTTTCTGACAATTTCTCAAGTGATCAATATCACCACTTGGGTGCAAAGTATAAGACCCTACCCAACTCACCACCATCATCTTCTAATCTATAAATTGGGAATGATCTGACCAATTTCCCGTAAGCACATACACTTAAATAGGATGACTATGCTGACATCTTTTAATTCCAATAAGTCAGTTTTATAAAGGGAGAAATTAATAGATCTTATAGATATCACCAGACTATCAGAGGACTGATCCCCCTAATGTGAACAATCAACAACTCTGGAAAACATTGCTTTTCTTGGGGTTTCAGAAAAGGGCTTGATCAGATAGAAAGATAGAAAGATAGAAAGATTTTGTGTGCTGCTTGGATATGGAACTATTACTTTTAATAAGAAAAAAATGGAAGAGAATACATGCAGAAAGCATGGCTTCAAATGGGTTTCATACATTTTCACATCTAGATAAAAAGGGAAAAATAAAATAATGTTTATTAATACTTTGCCAGTTTTAAATATATTTTTCAATATTATAATATGAGATTCTAATTACAATAATCAATTTTATAGTATGAAGTTGTAGAACTATGCTCTCAATAGTTAAAATTTGACAGCTATCTTAAAAATGCTTTTACGTGAATTATTTTATTTCTTTTTGTTTATTTTTTTTTAGAGAGAGAGAGAGCATGGGGGGGTGGGGGGGCAGAGGGAGAGAAATCCTCAAGCAGACTCCACGCTGAGCACAAAGCCTGAGGTAGGGCTCAATCCCACACCCCTGAGATCATGACCTGAGCAGAAATCAAGAGTTGATGCTTAACCAACTGAGCCACCCAGGAGTCTATCTTATTTTATATCTATAGCAATTATTAAAGTATTGGATGTTTATTATAGAAATTCATTGTATGCTTTTAAAATCATTTTTTCAGAATCTAAAGGAATGTGTGTATCTCCTCCACTTATTAAAAATGGAGTCATAATTAGTCCAACATCAGACATCTATGAAAATGGTTCCTCGGTAGAATACAAATGTTTTGATCACCATTTCCTTCAAGGATCTAGGGAGTCCTATTGTTTAGAGGGAGTGTGGACTACGCCACCATTGTGTTTAGGTATGTACTACGAAATATCCACCTATTTAATAAAATAAAACCATATCTTTTCCCACTTTCTCTTCTCTGTTAGTTAATATAATATTATAATGCTTAATTTGCTATATTTGTGTATCAGTTTCCCTATTTCATCACTGGTTTCTATTCTCTCCTGTAGATCATAAATAACTATAGTCCATCTTGCCCTAACAAATATATACTAAATACAAACCATACACTAAGCACTGGTGTTTTATGGGGCTATAAGATGAATAAGTCATGGTGGTGTGGGTACATATGTTAACAGTTATCATTTAGTACCATGTGACTGGTACTATAATAGAAAACATGAGTGCAATGGGGAAACAAAGAAAGTTAAAGCAAGTTATGCCTTATTAGTGAAAATTTTCAGGAGACATAAAAAAGCATATCTTTAAATAAAAAAAATATTTTTTTGTTTCCATATCTAACTTATTTACTATCTTATTTCACCAGCTTGGACTTGAGTACAATACTGAGTAGAAGATGTAGTGGGTATCTTGTTTCCCAATCTCATAAGTAAAACTTTCAACAATTCATCTTTAATTACAGTGTTATAAATATTTCAAAACCAAATTAAAAATATAGAAAGTTTAATTTCTATTTTTTCTAAGAGTTTTTAAAAAAATCTTCAGTGAGTGTTTAATTTTAGCACTATCTATTGAAATAATCATATTATTGCTTTTTCCCCCGGAATTATATTGCTTCTTCTTGAATGTTAAAGCATGATTACTTTCCTGTAATTAATCACACTTGGTTGTGATGAATTATGCTTTTTACATGTTATTGGATTTTATTTGCTTATATTTACTTAGAAGTTTCACATCTATTTTTATGAGAGAGATCAGTCTGTTATTTTCCTTTGGGTTTGGTATGAAGTTTCTGCTTTCCTCATATGGTGAATTGGTAAGTTCCCTCTTTTTCAATTCTCTGGAATTTGTGTAAGATTGGTACCATTTCTTCCTTAATAATTGTAAGAATCCACCGAACATGCCATTTGAACATCAAGTTCTCTCTAAAGAAAGATCCTGACAGCTGTCAGTTTTCATAGGGTGGTTTATAGAAATTTGTCGATAATACCTAAATTGTCAAATTTGTTGACATAATGTTGTTTACAACATCCTTTTACATTATTTTTAATGCCTTTAGTGATATGTCATTTGTTTTTACTGCTATTAAGCTGTATCTCTTTCTTTCTTGACATGTCTTGCTATGGGTCTATTACTGTCTTTTTTTTTTTAAGTTTGGGGTTTTTTTAAAAAAAAGATTATTTATTTTAGAGAGGGGGAGAATCAGGAGCAGAGGAAGAGGGAGAAAGAAAGCAGACTCCCCATTGAGCCTGGAGCTCAACCTAGGGCTCTAATTCAGGACCCAGAGATCATTCATGATCTGAGCCAAAACCAAGAATTGGTCAGTAAACCAAATGAGCCATCCAGGCCCTGGGTCTATAACTTTTATTAGGCCTTTCAAACAACTAGCATTTATATTTGTTACCCTTTCATCAAATGTTGCTTACTATTTTAATAATTTAAATTCTTATCATTATTTTCTCTCCTAATTTCTTAAATTTATTTTATTACTCTTAGCTTTTTAGGCAGATACTTATATTACTGATTTTCAGCCTTTCTTTTTTAAAGGATTTTTAAAGAAAATTTAATTTAATTTGTTAATGATACAATAAGGATATAATTATATCTTTAAATTTCCTATGGAGCACAACTTTATCCCACTCATTTTTATGTTTTGGAATTTTATCATTATTCAGCCATCCAGTTAAAAAATACATGATACCCATTTTGATATCTTGTATGCACTCTGAGTTATGTAGAAGTTTGTTTTTTAGTTTCTAAGCATTGAAAGATTTTCTAGTTTCCTTTTGTTATTGATTTCTAATTTGAATCCATTGAGACACACTTTGAATTATATAAATCTTTTGAAATTCATTGATACTTTATTACAAGCATTTATTTATTGTAGGTACACATTCTTTTGTACTTGAAATAAACAAATAATTGTCATTGTTGGATTCACTGTTGCTGCATATTAAGTTCATTCATATCTGTGCTGATTTGTGTCTGTTTGTTTTTCTATCTGTCACCAAAAGAAGGATGTTAAAGTCCCTTATACTCTGTGCATTTAAAAACATTTCTTGTATTCTCTCAACTTTTGCTTTTGTTTTTTTATACTATTCTACTAGGTACACACAAATTGAACCATATTAAATCTTGGTGTACTGGCCCTGTGTAATTTTAAAAGAGTCCTCCTTTATCTATACTAATACTTTGTTTTTGTTTGTTTTTGCCTGAAGTCTACTTTAGATGTACAAGCTTTCAACAAGTATTTACAAGGCATACATTTTTTCATTCTTTAACTTTCAACATTTTGGTTTCTTACTTTTAATGTGTATATATTGCAAGCAATATATAGTTGTTTACTTTAAAGCATACTTATTTAGTCTGACCATCTTTTTATAGTATTTGTCCATATACATGTTATATAAGTCCTGATATATATCCTTTCTGTTCTTTCTTCTTCTTTCTCTCTCTTTTCTTTCTTCTGGGTAAATCAATTCTTTTTAAACCATTTCACTCTCTACTAGCTTGTCGATTATTCTTTTCTCTTGGATTCCTTTCAAATTGTTATCACATAAATTACATAATTCAATCATGACTTATTACAGTTGAATATAAATTAGGACTTATACCACCTCTCCAAGACCCAGAACACTTTAGCTTGATTTACCCTTCCCACTTTTTGTATTACTGTGTCATGCATTTTCATTCTACATAGTGTTTAAGTCCCAAAGATACAGTGAATATTATGTTTTCCAAAAATATTCTTTAAGACTTGTTGATATGTTTGTCAGTGATTCGTTTCTCATCTTCTCCTGTTTGTTGCTATTTCTGATTGGGATCATTTTGCACATGCCTGAAAAATATTATTTCTTTATTATTTTCTCAGTTTTTGTTTGCTTGCAAATTTCTTGATTTTCCTTCACTTTTGAAGAGGAATTTTACCAGAGATAGAATTCCCTCTTTCCTTTCCATGCTTTAGAAGATGTCATTTTTATCCTTTTCTGCATTTATAGTTTTTTTAAAAAAAGAATTTTATTTCTTTATTTGACACAGAGAGAGACAGCGAGAGAGGGAACACAATTAGGGAGTGGGAGAGGGAGAAGCAGGCTTCCTGCTGAACAGGGAGCCCGATGTGGGGCTTGATTCCAGGACCCTGGGATCATGACCTGAGCCAAAGGCAGATGCTTAACCGACTGAGCCACTCAGGCACCCCTGCATTTTATAGTTTTTGTTAGTCAATTGCATTCTTTATTTTTTTTAAGATTTTATTTATTTATTTATTTATTTATTTATTTATTTATTTATTTATTCATGTGTCAGAGAAAGAGAGAGAGAGAACACAAGCAGGGGGAGCAGCAGGCTCCCCGCTGAGAAAGGAGCCTGATGTAGGACTCAATCCCAGGACCCTGGGATCATGACCTGAGCTGAAGACAGACACTTAAGCAACTGAGCCACCCATGTGTCCCAGTCAATGCCATTCTCAATGGTACATCTTTGAAACTAAGTTTCTTTTTGTACTCTACTGGTTTTGAGATTCTTTTTCCCTTTATTTTCAGTAGGCTACTTATGCGGGGCCTTGATATGTGTTTCTCCGAGCATTTCATTTTTTTCTTTTTTTAAAGATTTTATGTATTTATTTTTGTGAGAGACAGAGAGAGAGAGAGAGCATGCGCACATGAATGGGGGAGGGGCAGAGGGAGAAGCAGACTCCCCACTGAGCGGGGAGCCTGGTGCACGACCGGATTCCAGGACCCTGGGATCATGATCTGAGCCAAAGGCAGATACTTAACTGACTTAGCTACCCAGGGGCCCCTGAGCATCTCATGCTTCAAGTTGGTAGCACTTCTTGAATCTGTGGCTTGATGTTTTTCATAGTTCTGGAAGGTACCTTTAATCTTCTTTGTTCCCATTTGGTAATTTTCTATTGATATATCTTCCAATTCATTAATCCTTTCTTTAGATGTGTCCAATCTGCTTTAAACTCATCTATGGAGCTCTCAATATCCTTGTATTTCTAGAATATCATTTTATGCCTTTTTTTTGTAGATTTCAGTTGTCTGATGAAAAACTTTATCTTAACATCTATTTCTTTACCATGTTAATCACACTTATCTTTAAGTCCTTGCCTGCAAACTCCATTATCTGGATCATCTGTAGGCCTATTTCAATTTCTAGCCTAATTTTTTGCTATTTCTGTTAACAGTTGATTGAATATCAAATATTATGTATGGAAAATTTTAGAGACTTGAAACGATGATGTCATCTTGTTCCAGAGAATACGCATCTCTTCTTTTGGCTGATAGTGTAGGGGAAATTGGCCTCAATCTAATTAGAAATGCAGCTTTTTCTAAGCTTATTTTCAGACCTTTGTTTGCTCCTACTAATAGAACATAACCCTGCAGGGTTCTTCACTAAGAGTTTGGTGTTTATACCAAGGTTCCTCCTTCTTGACTGCCTTTCTTATTACTGGGAGACTGCCAAAAAAGCTTAATGTAGCTTTTCATTCACTTTCTGCTTGGCTCTTTATCCTCTCTCTTTGCACAAGTCAAGAATAGGCAAATGCTTCAAGGGAACAAACAGCCAGTTCAGAGTATCACATTCATTCTCTGTATCTCCCATTCCTCTGGGTTCTTGACCACTCAAGTCCTGGCTGTCATGTCTGACTTAAACTTCTGTGTTTCTATCCTCAACAACATGAGATTTCCAAAAGCTCTGCTAGCTCTATGTTTGCTCTTGACCATTCTCTACAGTCTCTCAGCTCATGCTGAGAATCAACAAATGCCCCAAGAGGAAATGCCATACAGAATGTTGGACTCATCTGAATGAGCTTTTACCAGAACCTTGGCATCTTGAGTACTGAGTGACTTTGAAATGCTCTAATTCCTTGAAATACGTACTTCGTGTAAGTTTTCAAATTTTCTAGTTTTTGGTAGAAAAAACTGGTCTGATATAGACTATTCTGTCACTATTCTGATTAGCTGGTCTGATATAGACTATGCTGTCATAGCTGAGAACAGGAGGTCCATGAATTAATTTTTAACTTGTTTTAATTAAAATTTTATGTTTTGTAGAACTATAACATTTTAAATTATAGTGCTATTTGACCTCATTTTCAAAGATATTTTGCAGTGACTATAAAGATTCTCTTAGAGTCTTTCTGATTCTTTTTCTTCATTTTTATTCTGTCTATAGAACTTCTAGCATAACATCTGACACTTAGAGATTCAATAAATACTTACCGAAAATATTGAATAAAGAAGTTTGTTAATGTATTCCAGTTGTATGATTTATATGCTTTATTAACAACTCTGGACTTTTAACCTGTCTCAGGACCTACTGTTTGGTGCCATGTCATCCAGGAGGCAAAGAAGGACACAAACAACTCATTTTCTGAAATAACTTGACATTTTGAAAATATCAATATTTTTATTATGAAAAAAGATCAAAGGAATTTGTTGAGTATCCTAATAATTGTCTTAAGTTTTTATTTTGTTTTGTTTTAATGCATTAGTGAAAGGACACAATAATATTTTCAATGCTTAGAATTCAAAACATCTTAATCTAATATTGATATTGATAACCGGAAATTTCAAAGAGAGGAAACTGTCAACCACTCTGGATGCCATCAGGTCATAGAGTTTGAGTCATTGTTGACAATCCAGCTTCTTTCTACATTTCCATAATATTTTATCTATCCAATAATCAAACAAATACTTTGTCTCATGGGGAATTTATTTAAATTTTCTGAAGAAAAAAATAAGAAAAAAACATTATTTCAATAATTATTGGTAACTATCAATGTTCTTTATAAAAACACCTTTTTTGTTTACTATCTTTGAAAACCATAATGGCATAAAGCTAAGTGACTGGCAGGACATACATCTTTTCCAAGTCCAGGACCACACAGACAAATGGCAGACTGTTTTCTGTGAGCCTTGAACATATTCTCTGAGTCAAATATTAATTCTAACTTAGTTGCCACTAGAGTCTGGGAATTTTAAGGTCATCATGAATAGGGACCACAATGCTTCCTGTTAGTGCCAAGATGTGTCAAGATAATTTTCTTCTTTTTATTTTTTCAGAGCCTTGCACATTATCTTTTGTTGAAATGGAAAATAATAATTTACTCCTGAAATGGGATTTTGACGATAGACCACATATTTTCCATGGCGAGTATATTGAGTTTCTTTGTAAGAGAAATACGTATGTAGCTGAGTTCTCTATTACTGGATCTGAACTCAGAGTGCAGTGTGACAGAGGGCACTTAAAATATCCAAGATGCATTGACAGAGAAAGGTAAGAAGAAGCTTGTGCCTACAACTAATTATTTTCTTCAGATTGTTATTCAAGAGATTCTTTATGTTATAAATTTCAGAAATACAGGTTCTACAAAACTCCTACTTCATGGTCATTATATAGGATAAAATAATTTCATTTTTTAAGCTAGAAGTATTAATTAATTCAACAAACTTTCTGAGTTGTCTGAAGTCAGAGTACTGTTTGCTATTTCATATCTGTGACACTTTGGCAATTTGGAAAATAAACTGATTTATATGTGCAATATTTAAATGTGGAAAAATTAACCTATATTTTGAGAGAGAAGATTACATTTTCTCCCACTTCCCAGTATAGGTCCAAGTATAAGTTATAAAGATGGGAAACAAAGTTGTACAAATCTTTCTATTGATAGAAGAGCATATTAATAACAATGATTAAAATTAAGTTATTTTCAGGAACACATGTCTGTGTAAGAGCTTGGAAACACTAAAGTGTTTCCTCATGAAATAATTTAAAAGTACATATTTTATACTTTTTTTTCCTCATTCTTTTTTGTTTTTTATTTGAGGATAGTTTATGTACAATGTTACATTAGTTTCAGGTATACAACATAGTGATTCAACAATTCTATTGTTATGCTATACTCACCACAAGTGTAGCCATGATCTGTCACCATACGATGCTATTATAATACCATTCACTATATTCCCTATGCTGTACCTTTTATTCCCATGACTTACTTATTCCATAACTGGAAGCCTGCCTCTCTCACTCGGTCCCCTTTTCCAATTTTGTCCATCTCTCTATCCACCTCCTCTCTAGCAACCATCAATTTGTTCTCCATATTTATAGATTTATGTCTGCTTTTTGTTTCTTTGTTTTTTTAGATTCCACATATAAGTGAAATCATATGGTATTTGTCTTTCTCTGTCTGACTTATATAAAGACCCCAAAAAGCCAAAGCAATCTTGAGAAAGAAGAACAAAAATGGAGGTATTGCAATTGTAGATTTCAAAATACTCTACAAAACTGTAGTAATCAAAACAGTATGGTACTGGAATAAAAATAGACACATAGATGAACAGAATAAAGAGCCCAGAAATAAACCCATACTTTTATATGGTCAATTAATCTATGACAAAGGGTGCAGGGATATACAATGGGGAAAAGAAGTTTGGACATAAACGGTATGAGGAAACCTGGACAACTACATGCAAAAGAATGAAACTGGACCACTTTCTTACATGACACACACACACACACCTCAAAATGGGTAAAAGATCTAAATGTGAGAACTGAAACCATAAAACTCCCAGAAGAAAACAGGTAGTAATCTCCTTGTCTTTGGCCTTAGTAACATTTTTCTAGATATGTCTCCTGAGAAAGAAAAACAAAAGCAAAAATAAACTATTGAGACTACATCAAAATGAAAAGCTTCTGCATAGCAAAGGAAACCATCAACAAAACAAAAAGATAACCCACTGAATGGGAGAAGATATTTGCAAAGGATATATCTGATAATGGTTAATATCCAAAATATATGAAGAATTTTATTTTATTTTTTAAATATTTATTTATTTATTTGAGAGAGAAAGTGAGCTCAGTGGGGAGGGGTGGAGGGAGAAGGAGAGAATTCCAAGCGGACTCCTGGCTTGAGCATGGAGCCTGATGTGGGGCCTGACCCCAGGATCCTGAGATCATGACCTAAGCCAAAACCAAGAGTTGGACCCTCAATTGACTGTGCCACCTAGGTGCCCCAATATATGAAGAATTTTAATCCCCCCCAAATGGGGTGCCTGGGTGACTTAGTCAGTTAAGTGTCCGACTCTTGATTTTGGCTTAGTCAGGCCATGATCTCAGGGTTATAAGATTGAGCCCCATGCCAGTCTCCCTGCTCAGTGCAGAGTCTTCTTAAGATTCTTTCCCTCTCCCTCTGCCCCTTCCTCCCTGCTCATGCTCTCTCTCTCAAGATAAATAAATAAATACCCAAATAATCCAATTAAAAAGGGCAGAGGACATTTTTCCAAAGAAGATATACAGATGGCCAACAGACACATGAACAGACAAAAAGACACTTAACATCACTAATCATCAGGGAAATGCAAATCAGAACCATGCGATATCACCTTCCACTTGTCAGAATGGCTAGAATCAAAAAGACAAGAAATAACAAGTGTTGGCAAGGATGTGAAGAAAAAGAAACCCTCATGCCCTGTTGGTGGGAATGTAAATTGGTACACCCACTATGGAAAACAGTATGGAACTTCCTTAAAAAATTAAAAATGAAATACTATATGATCCAATAATTCTACCTCTGGGTATTTTCCCAATGAAAACAAAAACAGCAATTCAAAAAGATATATGCACCTTTTTGTTTATTGAAGCATTATTCATAATAGCCAAGATATGAAAGCAGCCCAAGTGCTATTGATAGATGAATGGATAAAAAAAGATGTAGAATATTATATATACAATGGAATATTACTCATCCATAAAAAGGATGAGATCTTGCCATTTGTGACAACATAGGTGGACCTAGAGGGTATTATGCTAAGTGAAATAAGTCAGACAGAGAAAAACCATAACCCTATTTTATATTTCTTGATGAATGAAATATAATCCTGTTTTTAGTAAAATATTACAATAATACAATAAAATGATGTAAATCATTTTATAGAATCAGGATTTTGACACTTTTAAAGATACAGTATAAAATGGAAATTATACTTTATCTTTGATTAAGAATATTATAAAAATATGGGTGCCTGGGTGGCTCAGTCAGTTAAGAGTCTGCCTTTGGCTCTAGTCATGATCGCAGGTCCTGAGATCAAGCCCCCCATCGGTCTCCCTGCTCAGCGGGGAGTGTGTTTCTCCCTCTGCCCCTCCCCCTGCTCATGCTTGTGCTTGCTCTCTCTCTCTGAAATACATAAATAAAATCTTTTTTAGAAAAGAATATTATAAAAATAACTTAATGGCAAAGTGTATGTGTTCTAATCATTGTGAACAATGAACTATATGAACAACATAAGGATAACTTTTTAGATACTTTGAACAGTCTATAAAAACATTCATAAGAGACATGGGTGGAAAACTTTAAAAATTTTTAACTATGGTAAAATCAGGACAGAAAAATTTTATATGTGTTTAAGTGTCTTAGTGTGTCTTGTATTTCTCATTTCAAAGAGAAAAAGAGGTAAATAACTTAGAAAAAAGTGTTTAAAAATGGCATTATTCTATCAAATGACACTGAGATTTGAAAAAGGAATTTGTGGTATAATTCACCAAGTCTGTCTACTTGCTTTTATCAATAACTAGCTAAAACAATGACTAATTATACGAAGTGTTGAAGGGCTAAGTTATAACAAATACTTGACCAAAAATGGTGCTTATTTCAAAAATCTCTCTTCCTTCCTCTCTCTTTCTCATCAAGGATGCTGTCTTATCAACAATCCTTCAGGACATAAAAATGTATGGCAGAAAGAAGAATAGTATATCAACACATCATAAAATCCTTTATAAAACATAATTTTTAGAAGAAAAATTACAAGTCTCTAAGTTTTAACTTTTGAAGATTTGAATCTAAATTGTCTGTGTTGACCCTTTTTTTATTTATAAATAAGCCAGAACATGTTGTTTCCATTCTAATTTGACTGATCTGACATGTAACCTAACCTTTAGTGCATGCTTTCCCTCTGTTAAAAAGATTGATCTACGTGTCAAAGTATTTCTGTTTCCTAATATCCATTCATTGTGTTATATTATTGCCTTCAAGATATTTGTTTTTATCATATTCATTAACATTAGGGTTTTCTGGTACTTTTAATTCAATCTTTCTGTCAATATTAAAGAACCAAACACTAGAGATAAGAAACTATACATCATATTAGAGGATTTACCTTATTAAATAGAGAAAAGACTGCCCTTCACACTTTCTAAATGTAAAGAACTTCAAAAAATTAACTGTAGTATTAGCTTCAAGGTTAATCAAATTATGAGGTGGTGAACTATCCACATGTTAAAATGTTGCCCAAGGAACGTGGCTAAAAAAAGAACAACACTTTCCATTTTTATATTTTACACTTTCAAGTAATATTTTGAAGTAACAGTTACACTTCCATTTAAAGTAAAGTAACAGTTATACTTCCATTTGTTATTAGTGTTCATTCATAAGCCTGTGTAATAGCACTACCGGGGTACTAAAACCCCCTAGTGGGACTGGTTGTTGTTACTAGAATAGCACATTTTCTTATCTGGAAGCTATTCAGTTCACCTAACTCAAGATCTTCTCAATATGATGACATTCTTTTTTTTGTTTTAAGATTTATTTATTTATTACTTATTTGACAGAGAAAGACACAGCGAGAGAGGGAACACAAGCAGGGGGAGTGGGAGAGGGAGAAGCAGGCCTCCCACAGAGCAGGGAGCCCGACGTGGGGCTCGATCCCAGGACCCCGGGATCACGACCTGAGCCGAAGGCAGACGCTTAATGACTGAGCCACCCATGCGCCTTGATGACATTCTTTAAACCCTCAAGCTTCAATTTTCTAATGAAGGACAACTGGACATAACTCTGTGGATTAAATATGAATTCATTCAGTGTTCAACATGTATATTTCAGAACTGTCCTTGAGTTCATAATCATTCTTTTAATATTCTATAGTCATTGTCCACAGTGGATCCTATAAAATTGAAATTTGAATTAAATATCAATAGAAAAGTGTTAATCATTTTCAATTAATCAGTTAATCCATTAATAAACAATATTGAGCACCTGCTATATCTCAGAAAACAGAAAATTTGCTCAAGGTGGGTAACTGTCTTGGGACTACGTATTTAGTATTGTCATATCTTCTGATTTTTTAGTGAAATCTACTGATTTTTATATGTGGAGAGGGTGTCTAAAAATATTTTGTGAGCAGTGTGGCTCATGAGCCGTCAATTTGTAAACTCTAAATGCTAAATAAACGAATGTGTGAAAAATGCGACAATGGAAGCATGTGCAAAGTAAAGTGGTGGCATGGAGGAGGTGGTAATTAACTTTTTGGGGGGTGTATTGGAAGCTTCCTGGGAAAAGCCTGAGGTCTGCAAGCCTAGAGAAGACATCCCACAGAGAGGGAATGGCACACACTAAGTCAAATATTAAGCAGGCACCATATGCTAGGCATCATGCTGAGCACTGGGGGAAAACAGTGAATAAGACACATTGTTCCTGCTGTTATGGAGCATGTGCTCTGGTGGGAAAGGAAGATGTGAACCAAATCTATAGAAGATGACCTGTGCCAAGAAAGACACTCTCTTTGTCAATGAACACCAGGGGATGCAACCTAGTCCTGGATGCTCAAGAAAAGCTTCCTTGAGGAAGTGATATATAAGATGAGACTTGAAGGGAGAAAAGAAAATATTTTGGGTGAGGGAGGATCATATGGAAAGCATGTGCAGAGAACATGATGTTTCCAAGAAGTTAGTATATAGCCAGTGTGGAATGAGTGGAAAGGAGTGAAGGAGAGAGTGAAGGAAGGTAAACCTGGAGAGATTGCAGTCCCGTGATGAAGGCCTTAGTAGGCCAAACTAAAGATATTGGAAGTCACTGACTGAAATGAAATGTTTATAGTAATTGCTAAAAAGACACCACTGACTGTTGTAAGGAGAGACTGGTCTGAAGGGGGGGAAATGTAGGCATAGAGAAACCACTTTTAAGAAAAGAATGCCATCATCCAAGCAAACTATGATGGTAATTTACCCTGGAGGCTGTTGGGGAAGGTCATCAAAAAGATGTGGCCACCGGTTGACCTGTGAGCTGGATCTCTGCTCCTCACTCCCTCCCCTGTCCTTGGAATATGGGTTCCATCTGCCTTTCCCACTCCCAGAGGTTACTCCAAAGACATAGATAGTCATGGGGTATTGAGAACACCTGCATGGTATGCATGACTGAACCTAGTTAAGGCCTCTATATAAACCTTAAGATCTGATGAGCAGGTGCAGGGATCCTGTGATCTTGCTGCCGTCCAAGGCAAGCTTCATATGTAAGTTCCCTTTGCTTATTACATCTGCCACCTACCAACCTGGAGTGGGCTGCCTCTCTTCGTTCTCCCTGCCCTCCGCCCTATCCAGCTCACAGAGTACAGGGGCCAGTTTCAGATTCTACCTGGGAAACTCCCAGGAGCGTTGCAAATCAACAGATGCAGCAGCAGGGAGGGTACAAGTTAGATTGGAGCAAGAGGTATTTAGGATGTGAAGTCATCATGACATTTAGACTGATCAGATGTGGGTGGGGGTGAGGCAGACAAAAGGTTCAGGAGGACACTTGGGTTTCTGGCTTGACTAAGTGGATGATAGCCGTCTGAGTGTGGTAGGAGGGCTCGGAGGAAGAAGCAGTGTGAGGGAGTGGAGTTTAGCATGAAGCGTTTAGTGTTAAAATGTTATTTTTGAAGTATCTCTTGGGAAGCCAAGAAAAAATATTAAGTAAGCAGTTGATTCTTGCAGTCGATTCTGTGATGACCGACGCAGATTCCTTTCAGAAACAAAAGACTTACTCTCTCAGCTGCTGGAAGTTCTCAGTTATCAGCTTCCTAAGGCAGTTGATTCAGCTGAAGAAAATCTTTCCTCCCAAGGTCATAGCTCGTTCCAAGGGTGGCCTGCCATTAACCAGTGCCTGGCCAATAGGAATGATTAAGAAAAGACCCTCCATTCCAACTGAGGACGCTTCTAAAGGGATATCCCAGTTGCAGAGGTACCCAGAGTTGGCAGACGTCACTGCTCCCCGCCTTTCCCCTCCACAGATGTGGATCCTAAGAGTATTCCCTAAAAATGCTCCTGGCTGCTAATTTCCATCCCACAGTCTGGGAATCCAATCTATGAGCATTATACAAGCCTGGGTGTCAGAACAGAGCTCTGAAAAAATTTGCAGTTATCAGCAGATGTCTACAAAACTAAGGCAATAGATGAGTTTTTCAGGGTTAGATGCAGGCCTAGTTCAGGGCTTTGAGGGTATCCTAAGTGTAGTGATTGCCATAGGAAAAGGAATGATGAAAGAGGCTGATAAGGAATGGCTGGACTGCTCCATTGAAAACCAGGAGAGAGGAGGACTGAAAATGCTGTTTCGATGTTATTGATTACTTGAAAGGAACGTCACCATCATTAAGTGTGAGATTGAGAGAGAAACAGGTTGAGGAATAAACGTAAGGTACAAAAACCAGAGACATGACTATAGTGATCTTGGCAGTAAGTGTGACAGTGAAGGGGAGAGAGGTAGGGTGGCATGGGGGAGATAGGGATATAAAGCAGGAATTTTTTTAATGGGCTGGAAGAAATTTGAGCATGTTCTAATTCGATGGGAATGGGTGAGTAAAGAAGGACAAGTGGCAGATACTGAGAACATATTGCACAAGAGATCGAAGAGGATTCTTGAAAAAGGGAGAAGAGATGTGACCCAAGACGAAAGTAGAGGGTGGCTCTTGGCTGGGAGGTGATTCACCAGGGTGCTGCCTGGTTCTGCAGAGAGAAACTGATTTTTCAAAGGGAAGTTAAGATCGTAGCTATCTGTTACTTCATAGTGAAAGATCGCAACCCTAGAGAACATTACACATTAAAACTGAATTCAGGGAAACTCAGCATGATTCCTTTGGAGGAAAAATGGAGAGCATGAGAAGTATAAAAAGTCTAACCTGAACTGAGAAGTACATTGCCTAATACACTTCTTCTCGAATGTAATTTAAGACTAATCATCAGACAATAGGCAAGGTTTCAACTGACAAGGATTTAAATTTGTTTTTATATTTTGTTTTACTTGCCATTTATTGTAAGAAAACTTTAAATCATTTTTAAGGAAACATTCTAAAGCAAGGTTGGAAAATGTCTGATCTTTCTATAGAAAGTTGGGTACAGTGTAACTGCCGAAAACCCACGGCCCCTTTGTGGTCCGTGGAACCCAAAACATACAGATGTATTTGATGTTCTCAGCAAGAGAAAGAAAGTATGGTCCAAATTAAATTTTCCAAAGATTAAAAAGTTCAGTTTATATATAATGCATTTAGCATCAGGTAAATTTTTCTATGGCCAGGTATTTTTTAAGTTACAATTTTGAAGTAATGTATTATTTTTGTCGTGTATAAGAGCAACTCTTCCACATTGTAAAACAGTTCAAACAATACAAATGGAAACAGGATAAAGAATGAAAATTCCCTTTATTCCTCCCAAAACCCCATATCTACTTCCTCAGTCCAGAGATTCTGACCGTAAAGAATTTGCTCTGTCTTCCAGATGCTACTATACACACTTAAAAATGTATTTTTATACATATGTGCATATTTTTGTTTTTGTATATATTAGGTGGCATATATATTGTATATCATACATTTTATATATTGTTCTAAGACTTTCATCTTCACTTGGTATATGATAGACCTATCCCCATATCAATACACATGGATTGATCTCATTCTTTATAAGATGTCAATAGTATTTCAAAAGCTGGCGGTAACATATTTAATTATTCTCTAATTGACGGACTTTTCAGTTGTTTCATTTTCCTCACTTCATTTCTACCTACCTTCTGTTTTTCTTCCTTCTTCCCTTTATTCCTTCCTTCATAGGTTGTAGGTAGAAATCAAATAATATAATTTAAAGCTGAAATGAAATCAAATTCTAAATATATGTAAAACAACAAATATAAACACCAAGAAAGATCTTAACATTCAATAAAATTAAATGACGGAGGAGAGGGAGGGAAGAAGAAGAAAGGAAGAAGTTGTAAGCTAATTTTATTGTTTCTCATCATAGGGACAAATAGACATTGCCTGAAGCTTGTGGGAGTAAATTTTATAAAGCAGGAACTATGTCAGACAGGTAATAAGGCACGTGAGTAATTGTTTCAGTCTAAAATACTTCATGTGAACAAAATATAGGTAAAGGATATAGAACATTCTAACAAGTAGTCAATAAAGTACATCTTATAAATTTATGTTAATTTTGTACCCAAATAACAGTGGGCATGAAGCAGTCATGAAAACTGGCTGTATATATTGTCATAAAAAAATCTAATTAAATTCCAAATCGATCATATAAGAAAAATTCTCTGGTTATATTGTATTGTTTTTTGGTTTTTTGTTTGATTTTAGTTTCTATTTCATTTGTTTCTACTCTGATCTTTATTATTTCCTTCCTTCTGCTAACCTTGGGCTTTGTTTATTGTTCTTTTTCTAGTTCCTTTAGGTGTAAGTTTAGATTGCTTAGTAGATTTTTTCTTGTTTCTTGAGATAGGTGTGTAGCACTAAAAATTTCCCTTTTAGAACTGCTTTTGTTGCATCCCAAAG